ATGTACAAATGTGCTTGACATGATGGATGGATGGATGGATGGATAGTGATAAGAGCTGTACAAGTCCCCAATAAAATGATTTGGGAAAAAATATGCAATTTTTACCACTTGTTGCCATAGATAGGCAGAGTCATAGTAAGTGCTTTTTGCTTCTTTGTTTTATAAATTGATGGGTTCTGATAGGTTGGTATTAATACTAATCAAATTGGCTTATGTTTTGTGCTTTTAAATCACAGCCAGTGGACAGTGCTAATTGAAGCATAGAGAAGCCTGGTAAGTGCCATGGCCCAGAGTGGGAGCAATGGGGGCTGAGTGAAGAGGTCCCCAGTGGTTCAGCATTAGGATGTGGATGAGACAGGAAAACAAGACCAGACTTTTACACACACTGGAAATCCAGAGTGATCTTGTATCTGAATCTCTAGAGGTTAAAATATGTACTTCTAATTCCATTTCTAAAAGGTTACATTGGCCAAACAAGACACGTCTCTATGTCAAAGGTAAGAGTTACCAGTTTCCTACTGAGACTAATCAGTCTGGGCCAGTTCCAAATGAGAGCTAACTGTACCAAATTGAGGAAGTTTCATATAAATCCCCCTGCTCCAAAATATATCATAAGTTTTAGCAACTAAGTATCAGTCATAAAAGCCCCCCATTTCAAAGTTCGCTATCAAAAGAAACAGACAACTGTTTAGAGCATGCAATTCTCTTGGAGTGACAACGCTGGAGAAAGAAAGGCATCACCGAGAACACTTTCACTCTTATGGACCCCAATCGCACCTCAAACTCAAAGACCCATTGCCACGAATCCTGTTCCAACTCCCAGCAACCTTGAAGGACAAAGCAAAACTGCCCCTATGGGTTTTCAGGGGGTTTCAATCTTTAAAGAGGAAAAATCCTCATCTCCCTCCCTCCGAGTGGCCAGCAGTTTTAAAGTGCCGGATCTCTGGTTTAGCAAGCCAACCCAGAACTCACTGCTGGGCCAGGACTCCTCCTCACACCGGCGCCCAACTCATGTTCTAAATGTGGTCCACTGCCCCCCATCATTTTCTCAGCTCCTCTCTTCTTGGTTAGAAAAGTAAACTCACAGGGCTTTGGTGGAGATGGTACAAGACAATCTAGGTAATAGGGCTAGAAAAGTGACTAGAATGTGAACATTGTTAGTTACCTATTGTTACTGCAAATATAAGTTCAGCGGTCCAAGCCCATGTTGACAAATTGGAAAAAGGTATGGACACACTTACAACTTAGCTGTTATAGAAAACTGCTTGCGGAAACATTTCTGTACCTACCCTCTTTAATAATCTGCAGAATCCTGGTGGCACTGGGAGGTAGGTGCTGTCCTAAAAAGTGTAAGCTCTCTAGTTGAAACCCCAGAGTCACTCTGCAGAAGGGAGCTAACGCTGTCTCCTCCCATAAAGACTGCCTCTCAGGAACCCTATGGAACAGTTCTACTGGGCCCTATAATGCCATTAGGAATCAGAGTTGGCGGCAGTGGGTTTTTTGTTTTGTTTTATCTCCCCAGTCTGCCTCTTAAATTATTCCCTAGCAATGCAGTCCCCTATGGGATAGCTGAGAATCATTTACACTTCAGCACAAAGACAAAGAAAGAGAAGCTTGTGTGGGGCATTCATTTTACAATATGAATGTAAAGGCTCCACCTCTCGTTACAGAAGTACTTTCCCACTTTTTTGTTTCTTTTTTGGATGGACTCATTCCCTATTTCTACCTACCTAAGGCAGCCTGAGTGGGTGTGTACCTGGAAACCACACTTGATACCACACTACTTGTAATGACTTCATATATAATCCAGCAGAGAACATCCTGTTGTCAACTTGAGACTTAAGAGTGAAGGGGTACAGGTTAGCCTGTCAATCAGGTCACAGCTTGATGACTTCAATTGGAGTCACTAAGGAGACAAATAGCTCACTGGAGGTGGGACCCACACTCACTCCCCATGACACATTCCTCTTTACAAAATACATGGAGCCACGCTAGAGCCCTGGATCTGAAGGAGCCACATGGAGACCCCGGTCAGCACTGAGATGCTTCTACTGCCATGAGATCCACAAGACTTTCCACCCACTGGCCTGGGATCTTCCTGCATTTGGTGTCATTGCCTGAGTTGCATGAGCCTGCAGAGAAATTTAGAGATTGGTATTGGACAGATGGGCTAATACTGGACTTCTGGACTGAGCTGGGATGTTTTCTTAATGTACAATTACTCTGATATAAAGTTCTCTCTTACACACATACGAGTGTCTATGCATTTGTTTCTCTAGTCAACCCAGACTAACACAAATGTCTGATCCAAAAAATTTATTAAAACAATAAGGAATGGGGTAAACATTTTAAAAAATGGAAAGATGTGTTTAAATTTTCCGCTGGTCTTTTCTTAAAGTGTGAGGTCACCTGGGATAGACATCAGTCAACCAGATGCAAGGCCTGATTTGATCACTCACTTATTAGAAGTTAAGGCTCTGCAGGTGCTGTCACGGTCACAGCAAGCAAACCCCAAACACAAGGGAATGGCAGCTAGATGGCAGGCCAACGGAATGATCCTTCAGTGTAGGGGCTTCATTCACAAAGGAGGGGCCTGCTGGAAATTTCCAGGCACTGGAAGGGGGATACTGAATGGCTCAGGACAACATATCCCCTTACTGGGATCCTTTCCTGTAAGGGCGTCAACCTCTGTGGCATCAAACTGCAGGAGTGTGTTAAGAGATGCCAGCATGAACAGGGGTCAGCCGCACCACGTACAGGGCGTCATGCTTGGTAAAGTGGAGGGTCAGAAAAAGAAGCCCCTTTAATCCTACTTGTATTTATCAGCCAGGCTGGCATAATAAACTATATCACAGGGTGACTGCAATAATGAACCCAAACATAAGCTGTGAGGTGACCCAGGACCGGGCAGTGTTTCGTTCCATTGTACATCACAAACAAGTTGGCAGCATTTAACAACAACAACATATGAAAAGCAACTCTAATTTCATACAATTAGCTAAGCCTAAGCACTTGCCCTCTCATCTGTTTGAAAAATGAAATAATCGCTTTCCCAACCACATCATTTCCCCAACCAAAGCAAGTGCATTTGTGGAATTTTTCAAAATGAGGCAGACCAGTCCAATGAAAGCCGAGTCCAAGGCTCTCGGCCCCATGGGCAGGTGCAAGTCGCAGACGCGGTCTAGTTACAAACATCCACAGGAAGGAGTGTATTCACTCAGCACAAGGGGAAGCTCGCAGTCTCACATAGCCAGATCACCAAAATCAAAGAGATATACCTGCAAGTTTTCAATTTCTTCTTTGTGTTCCCTCTTCAAGTGTAAAATAGCAGCCTGGTATTCTGGAAGAGAATGAGAGCAGCCGGTTACAAAGAAGCACACATTTCCACACACACTTTAAGCGCGTCTCTCCGAGATTGGCCAGGCCTTCCTGCAAGTACACCGAGTATGTGAATGCTGCCGTTAGCCATTCCCTGAATGGGAGATGTTGAAAATGGGGGTGAAAGGCTCAGAAGAGAAGCAAGCACGCCTTGTTTTTTCAGAAAACCCTGCTTTATGATAAGCCTCAAATTAAGCAGACAGGAGAGGGTTTAAAAAAGGAAAGGAAAAAACCAAGTGTGACGGGTGTGCCACATAGAGACTGGATCACATGTTTGTCTTCAAGGAGGAGATGGACTAACGGCCCAGAGAGAACAAAGACAGATGTGCTAAGAGCAGATACAGAGGAAATAAAAAGCAAACCTTCTATGTGAGATCACAGCTCTCTATATTTAACTCTGCTTCCATGCCCATATATATCTTCGTTTGAACAGCAAGCTACAAAAGTACACAGGACTAAGTTTGAATCTTCACACAGTCAAGGCCATTTGTCGTTGTGATGAGAGACTCTAGGGTGAGTTGAGGCTGAAGCAGAACAAGGATAAATTTGGGGTCCAATTTTAGTTTGAATCAAAGAATGTTTATTCCAACCTAAGGCCCAAGTGTACACAAGGTCTCCAGCCAGCCACAAGAGCTATCCTCCCACTGGTTAAGCAGGAAATAGTTTAATATGGCTTTATTTTCAGCAGGACAGCTAAGCATGGAGGGGCCACACCACTAGTCGGGTTGTAGAAAACCACAAAGCAAAACGCTACCAGTACGTATTACTGTAGGATACCCCAGCTTTTCACAACTCTGTAGGGCACGGTATGCGTAAGAAGGCAGCTAGACCGTGTTTTTCCAAAACTGTGTGAGAAGAGGCTACTCTCTTCAGGTGGATTTCAGAAAGCAGGCACGGATGCTCAGATTCCAATTCAATAGTGGATGACCCAAAGCTCCGGTCGAGTCATCGGAAGAAAGGCATATGTACCGCTCCTGGTGACCTGAACTAGCCCCACTACTGCTTCTGTGGGGAGTGTGCTTCCCGGAGCTGGAAATCCACCAGCAAACCATCTCTGGGATCAAACCAGTCCTCACCTTCTCTCCCCAGCCACTACTATCTTTCCTTCGGACACCTGCAACCCCTCCCCATACCCCATTCAAACAAACACACACACACAAATACCACAGATCAAAGCAAACCCATGGAAAGTGATCCCAACACTTAGAACTGTCTCAGAGGGTTTCCAAGCCTGCAAATCTCTATGGAAACAGATTGCCACACCTTTCTGCCCCGGAGCAGCGGTGGGTTTGAACAGCTGGCCTTTTGGTTAGGCGGCCTGACTCCTTCGGATCACAGCTCACGTGAGCAGCCTGCTCTCAGTCTTACCCACGTCCCTAAGCCGTTCTCCTTGCAGCTGCCTGGACCATCTGTGAAAGACATGAACCGAATCACCTCATGCCTGGCTTTTCCACAGCATTTAGACTGAAATCAGAACTGCCCCCTGCAGGTCACCAAGGCTCTTCACAACCCGTTTCCCATGTGCCTCGCCTCTGTTACATCAGACAACTCTTTTCTCTCGCTCATCACACTCCACGCCCACAGGCTTCCTTGCTGTTTCCTAATGTCGCTACCTAAAAGCCTTTGCTATTATAGGAGAGAATAAGAAAAGACTGTCTGTATTGAAGAAATATGATAATTAGGTATTAGTCTAAGCACTTCAGATGTTATTAGTTCATTTTATTCCCCCCCAAATTTTTAAATAAATTCTATCATTTTTGTCATTGCAAATAAGGAAACTAATTAATAGAGAGGTTAGGGAGTTGTCCAAGAAAATAGAATGGATTGCATAGCTAGAAAATATGCAAAATGGAGGTGGGACTTGTTCAATGCCGATCTAGACTTCAATATTGCTCTGAGAAATTAGTTGCCATAGATATTGCAGGCTAGGTTATTCCACTAACCATTCCATTGAAAAGAACTAAACTTTGGGTGGATGGATGGATTGATATAACCGTATTACATGAATTAAGAGTTGTTCACAAGACAACGCTGCATTGCTAAAGAAAAGCCTAAATCAAAGAGGAAGCCCAGGAACGTCTCAGGATTGAAGCTGCTTTGCCATCAGGGCTTGTGGCACACACGAGGTATGCTTCACAGAATAGAACAGGCAACAGGTAAAGTGTAGACCCTTCTAAAATGGGTGATCCTAGAAAATAACCTTTTTCTTATGTCTGGGTCCTAATGGGTCAGTTCCCCATAGTAAGCCTGAACCAGCAACCAATCTGCTCCAAGCACTGCTTAGAGAATGTTAAAGAAGGATGGATAGCCCTTCACTTATTGAATTTGAAAGGTTTCTTAAAGGCTGAAGAAAAAGACCCCAGAAATAAGGCCTGATTTTCAAAAACACAAGCAGCATACTAAATACGTGGATTCATATACGTAAGTATTTACTAGGTTACAATGTGTCAGAATCACCTCGATGGCAGTGAGCGGAGTACATCATTACGTAACTGCCAAACCACTGAGAACCAGGGCCAACCGAGCTGACACGTGCCCGTAATCATCACAGCTGGCATTCAGTCTCACATCACACCTGGTCCTTAATAAACAACATAGATAAAAGCCTTTTACTACCTACATAGAAGCAAGATGTTGAATAACAAGATAGCTGATATCACCAAAAATGAGGCATAGGCGTACTATGTGCTATATAATATGTTATACAATATCTTTTATATGTATATTTATAAGAGATACATCTAAAATATTAGGCTGCAGAAAAGCAAGGAAAAAAGGATCAGATTATGCAATACGTAAATGTTAACCCAGGAGAGCAGATACAACTACAATGATATTTTTAAAATTAGACATTAAAGTTTAATTATTGACAATTAAGAGAAAGATAGCTTATATTGATAAAAAGTATAATTTTGAAGTGGTCAAAACAGCTAAGTGGTTGGCTGCTAATGAAGGGTTGGCAGTTCAAATTCACCTGAAGGGGCTTTGGCAAAAGTATAATTTTCCCATAAAATAAGAAATTTAATTATATGCACTTAATATCATATGTATATATGTAAAAAATAATTAAAAGGATAGACATCTGTAATTTCAGAGGGAGACTTTTACACACCTCCTTCAGTGTCTGAAAGAACTTATACACATAAATACAAAGACACATATGTGCACACACACACACAGAAAAAGGGAAAACATAAGAGAATAATTTGAATTATTCTATTAACTAAATTGTCCGATGTACTGAACAGAGTACCCAACTACTGAAGAATAGATTTCCCCTTTTCCCAAATCCCCATGGAATAATTACAAAAACTAACTGTATGCTAAGCCATAATACAACTTTCAAAACAATTCAAATAAATGAGATAATCCAGAATATGTTCTATGGCCAGAGAGCAATTAACAGAAACACACTAATTTGTGGACAGAAAATAGCTTTATGTTTAGAAGTCAAGGGGGGAAATTTTCTACATAATTCCTGGCTCCAACAAAAAGTTGTAATTGAAATTACAAAATATTTTGAAAAGAAAGATGATAAAAGAAATGTGTGGATTCAGCTAAAGCTGTGCTAAACGAGAAGTTCATAGTCTGAAATGAACAAATTTGAGTAGTCTGAGGATTCGTGCAGAAATGTGAGGTTGCATAGTATTGAATATCAATCGGGGTGCGTCACGTAATCCCAGAAGACTGAAAGTAAAATATAATCTTGAAAGAAAAAAGGAAAAGATATTTTTCTCAGGAAATGCATAAAAAGCATTAGCTAAAGTTCAACATCCCTTGTTGGTTACAAATGAAAACCTGGCAAACCCCAAAAGATGAGGCTCTCTCCTTCATCTGGTAAATGGTGTCTCACAAAACCATCAGCATAGAGTCCAAAGCAGTCACTTTCCTATGAGTGAGCATTGTGCAAGGCACCGTGTGCCTCCACAGGGTCTCCCAGACATCCTCACGTGGACCCTTCAGCCTCTGCTAACAGTACTTGCTCCTCATGTCTAGCTCTTGATGCATCCCCTGTATTACAGTGGCCCAGGGCTCGTGTTTTCCTAATGACATCACTTGCAGCACTACTGGTTGTGGCCTAGGAAAGATCAGAGTGAGTTTCGAATGCTGGACTGAATTTCTCTACGCTCTTAACAGTCTACAAAAGACGCGTGGAATGAGGTGTCATTTAAAAATCCTATATAGGGATTTCAGGTCTGGTTAAGAAGGAGCCAGCTACCTCTCGCATAGAATATAACTACATCCCTTATGCAGAATGCACGAAATGCTGTTCTCTTAGGATGCTAGAATGGAGTAGACAGACTGGCAAAGGAGATCAAAACTCAGACTTCAAACTCTTCCGTAGTGCTCGGGCTTTACTGGCTTCTTTTGTGGCTGTCCTCCACTCCCCATGCCCTTGTCAACGTTCAGGCTCAGCAGAAGGAATAGCAGAACTGTGTACTGGGAAGGGACAGAATGAACTGGCAAAGAAGCTCTGTCTTATCCAAGAAGTTGGAAGGAAGACCCTATAGGACAGAGAGAGCAGGGAGATTCTGTTGTTTGTTTTTCTCCTGCCCCAGGCCCCAGGCAAGCCCTATTCCAAAAATAACAACTTGATGATGGTGGTGGTGGAGGTGGAGGTGGAGGTGGAGGTGGAGGTGG